AAAAAAAAAAAAAAAAAAAAAAAAAAAAAAAAAAAAAAAAGTGTGCATGTTCAATGAGAGATTTTAACTTTAAGAAGTGACTCTTTATTTACATAAACAAATCATTCCTGTTGCAAAATTTTACTCTCCCCTGCTCCTGTGGTGAGTTGCATATGTATTTATTTTGAGGTTGGGGTAGGAGTTAATCTAAGAATAAAATATCCCCAAGTGGTGAGGGTGTTTCCTGATTCTTTGTTCAGACAGCAGGCTGAATGCCTGATAAGGTCAGAGGCCTTCTTACTTCCCAGCTGGTGTTCCAAAGCCACTGTTAACGCTGGTTTGTGCCAGTTCAAGGATGTGTTATGTAATGCGGTAGGAAATTTCCATCTGTACTCCTGACCAACACAACTGTGAAGAGACTCTTTAAAAAATCCTTCCCCGGTGCCATGCACAGCCTAACACATATTGAGAATAGGATCTCACCCACAGAATCCTTTCCACCAATTAGGCACCTAATTTATTTATGCATCTATTCAGAAGTACTGCTCTCTTAGCTGACAGTGTAACTTAATGTCTTTTGTTTGTTATTGAAAGTAGTGTCACTTCCTGTCTCAAATAGAGAAAATATCATCATAAACTATCATAGGACAGCTTGAGTAAAACACCCTTGTTTTTAATATACAAAAGTATTTATGGTACCTTAGAAATGATGAAGATAGTTCTTCCCATGATGTGGCCTTATAATAAGAAAAAAAATTAGTGCATGCTAATCTGGATGGTAGGAATTTTCTGTCTTCGTAAACTTATTATAAATGTCTGAAACTAAATTTATATAATTGGATGTTCACCCTTTGGCTGTACAATGCTAATGTTTAATTGTAAATTAAATCAAATATTTTGCTTTACAGCATAGCTGCTGCCCAAATCTCTTTGTGCAAAGTGTCTTTGTAGAGACTCACAACAAGAATTTCCCCTGGGTGGCATTCTTCACAAACAGGTTGGAACTTTTTTTTTTTAATGTTATTTATTCAATCAACAAGAAAATAACAGGTCCCTCCAGCTATTAAAGAAATGTGTTCCAAGTGGACAGGCGTTTAGAGTGAGAAATCACAACACTGCGTTCTTGTTGGTCACCTCTATATAGACCTGTGGTTCTCAATCTTTTTAGACTCAGGGCACCCCTCAGAAAATGCCATTTATTAGCTTTCATTCATTTTTGACTGCAAGATTAGAGCCATTCTTCTGTTGCCAAGAACTTGGTGGAGACCACAGTAGGTCAGAATGTATTTGGCACTATGGATTCCTATTTGAAATCTCTGGGTTTATGTTGTTAATTATGTGTAATCAAACACACACTTACCAATGTGTGGGACCCTTAAACAGCTCATGGCATCCCAAAATGCTGTGGCACCCTGGTTAAGAATTGCTGATAAAGGCTAAAGACTGAATTGGTAATCAAACTAAGGTACATGATTGCTAGCCTAGAGGTGTATCATCATGTTCTATTGACATACAGCAGTGACAAGCAGGTGCTAATAATTCCTCCAGTGTTGTACCTGTTCAGTGGAAGTATAGCATTTATCTCTATGGCTGCAGAAGCATGAATTCACTGGACAAAAAAAATGTCCCTTTTGTAATGTATAATTGGGTCAGAAATAAGGTATGAAGAGCAAGCTGTTGCTCTATTCCTGTCCCAGGCCTTGTGCCTCATTACAAAGAACTAATGTGGTTCCATTGAAATCTGGCCTCCAGGCATTTATGAAGGCCATGAAATTATCTTGATTTCTACCTTGTGGTATTTTAGGGTCTGGGTAAACAAAGACTTGACACACCGTAGCTAGTCAAAAGAACATCACAGCCTGTACTGTTATTTAGGTACTTGCAGGGATTCTTTGGGTGGATAAGTGAGTTCATGTAAACATTAGAATGAGTGTCATCTAGACATTGGTGCAAGCTGCATTTAGATCAGTGGCCCAATCACAGTCCCTGATTTAAGCTTCTGTCTCAGCATTTTAAGTGTAATGTTCATTAAGGGGATTGCAAGCGTAGACAGCTTTTTAGGTAGAGTACCATGTACACCAAGCATTCTTTGCATCCTTCCCATGGACTCCCTCTATCATTCTCCCTGCCCGTCTATTTCAGGCATAGCTTCATGAGTAGATAGTGGTACAGTGAAAGCACAGTCCCATAAAAGGTTCTATCCATTTAAATATATTGACATAGTATGTTTGCCTCCTAGGCACGTGAAAGGTGGAACTGAACTCACGTGGGATTATGGTTATGAAGCTGGAAGCATGCCAGAGACTGAGATCCCCTGTCAGTGTGGAGTTCAGAAGTGCAGGAAAAAAATTTTATAGACAAATTTTTCCTACTATCAGCATGTCCACATAAGTGGGAAAATCACATGCAAAAAAATACAGGACACTATAGCAGAATTGCATTTCTCCAGTGGACCTTCATATAAGCTTGTGCACTGGATTGGTTTAGTCATTATTGACTTAAGTATACTAGTGTTTACTTCTTTCAGTTGTAGCATAACAGAGTGGTCATGAGCACAAGCATGATTTTTTTCCTAGGCTATTTTAATGCTTCATGCTTTGTTTTTTATTTCTTTTTTTATGTTAAAAAATGGAAGAACACTTTGTTTGCACATTGGTTTTCCTTAAGTTACATGGTGGCTAAGGAACTATAATAATGTTTGTGATGGATGTACGTAGGCAAGTAGAACTATCTTTTGAATACAGTTATTGTATTTGCAAAATACTTCACAAATACAGACCTACACTTGCCTGCTGACACCTTGTGTCATTTCCAAACCTCAAGTTCACCACAACTCAAACTTCTGAAAACCAGGGACCAAACAGTTAAGGTACGTGCCCATACAACTTGAATTATGCTGCTACCCCCTGGGGTACCAGTAACCAAAGGGCATCTGTGTTCACTATGCTAACTGTAGCTGTACTGAATGGTGGAAGGATTAATCAGAGCAGTTGGGCAGACCTGTGATTGTGATATGAGGCAGACTGGGATTTGCTCTTTTGGGCTGGAAGGGGTGTATGCATGACCCTTCTTCCTGAGCCATTGTTGCATGATCAAAGGAAAGAGGAACTGCACCTTGAAAAATCCAGTGTGTCTTTAGCTCTACCTTTTACAGGCTAGATCACCAGTGGGGCACCAGAGCTGTCTTGCCACAGGAATTGTCAGTTAGCTGAGTGTGTGTGACTTGTTGGGTGCTTTAATGGAAAGTGAAAGCATAGTATTAGAAGGTGCTGTAAACAGACTGTAAAACTTAGCAGACATAGGTTTTCTGTGGAACATGCTAAGTGCTTAACTCTGTGGCAGGTGTAGGTTGCTCTTATTTAGTACAGCACAAAAGGGAGTTGAGTATAAATTGGGACATTGTTCAAAGAAGGCAGAGTTAAGGTTGCATAGGTGTGAACCTCAGCTCTTCATATCCTGAGATTTTTTCTTTAGAAGTGTTAAGTTGTGTTGAACTTGTACCTTAAATTAGCATAAGATATCCTCAGGCAACTTTAAATCTGAATTAACCAAGTGCTTTGTCATAGAATTTTGCTAATTGATTAAACAGGGAGAGAGATGTTGCGATTTGTTTAGGCAATTGTATTTAGTTACTACAGAGGTTTGAAGTAGAGCTGCTGTAGTGGCTAGGTAAAGGATACTGTGTGCTGCTCCCACCCTCCCCACACTCTTACGGTGGGTGGAATGTGATAGCTGTGCTTTGAAATGTCAGAACTGTGTAGTTGCCACAAATCTGGTGAGAGACAAGTGTAGAATCATAGAAAATTAGGGTTGGAAGGAACCTCAGGAGGTCATCTAGTCCAACCCCCTGCTCAAAGCAGGACCATCCCTAACAGTATCACCCCAGCCAAGGCTTTGTCTAGCCAAGTCTTAAAAACCTCCAGGTAGGGAGAGTCCACAACTGCTCTGAATAATCTATTCAGTGCTTTACTAACCTCCTAGTGAAAACATTTGTCTTCATATCTAACCAAAACTTCCCTTGCTGGAACATGAGCCCATTGCCCCTTGTTTTATCATCTGCCACCACTGAAAACAGTTCAACTCCATCCTCTTCCAAAACCCACTTCAGGTAGTTGAAGACTGCTATTAAATCCCCACTCAGTTTTCTCTAGTCCAGACTAAATAAGCCTAGTTCCCTCTATCTCTCCTCATAAGTCGTGTCCCAGCTCCTTAATCATTTTTGTTGCCCTCTGCTGGACTCTCTCCAATTTGTCTACGTCCTTTTTAGAGTGGAGGGCCCAAAACTGGACACAGATGCAGTCTCACAGTGCCAGATAGAGGGTAAGAATCACTTCCTTCCATTTGCCAGCAACATTCATACTAGTGCAGTCCAGAATGCTGTTGGCCTTCTTTGCAACAAGGGCACACTGCTGACCCATATTCAACTTATTGTCTACTGTAACTCCCAGGTCCTCTTCTGCAGAGCTGCTGCTTAGCCAATTGGTCCCCAGCCTGTACTAGTGCAAGGGATTGTTCCGTCCTAAGTGCTGGACTTTGCACTTGTCCTTATTATTGAGATTTATTTTGGTTAAGGTCTCTAATATGTCAATGTCTCTCTAAATCTTAGCCCTCCCTCCAGTGTATTTACTACTCCCTCCAGCTTGGTGTCGTCTGCAAACTTGCTGATGAAGACTTTAAACAAAACACACCAGGACGAACTCCTAGGGTACACCACTTGTTACCATGTGCTAAATAGTCATTGCGCTATTGATCACTACTCTTTGAGCCCAACTATCCAGCCAGTTTTTTATCCACCGTTCAGTCCATTTATCCAACCTGTATTTCCGTAGCTT